CATTGCTACTAGGGTGGAGGCCGTTGCTACTAGGGTGGAGGCCGTTGGCCGTCGCAATTCCTTTTTCGCTGCCGCAGCACGTCTCGGAAGAGACGGCGATGGACATCTCGCTCTCAGTGGAGCCTGTTCGAAGGAGGACTGATCGTCGCCAGCCATCAGAATGAGTTGGATCCTTAGGGACTTCAAACACATGTATATAATTAATGTGATATAATCATATCAATAGACTAAATATGACTCAATTGACTTTTTGCTGTTTTTTTTGCACTGGTGGAACTGTCAAAGGATATTTTGCTTCTCTCTTCTGTTTGAATCAGACGGTTCTGCAATAAGAGGAAGATGCAACATTAAGGGACCCAACGAATTCAATTGTCCTTTGATTCAACTTGTCGTTCAGTACGATCGAATGAAGAGAAATGGACTTGGAAGCTTGATAGTTCTCTTTCAAACTTTCTGGAGGCTACACTGTATGGGTTTTCCGGAGAAGTTGCGGGTTTATCTTGGCGGCATGCAGGAACTCCATGGAAGAGGAGATGCCCACAACCAGCGATGAGTTGGGCGCCACAAGTGGTAGGGGTGGGGGAGGGTGCGAAGGCAATGCCAGAATGCTACCAAGCAGGTTCTACCGCACAAGTTTGCTGCTGCTGCTGCTGCTGCTGTGTTCACAAATTCCAGCTCGACCAAGCCAAGCTTGTGCTGGATGTTCTCACTTGATGTGGTGTCATGTAGTTTGTCTCGCATAAAACACTATTGGGGAGGTTGTGGGTGAGGCTTCTGTGACTAGTGGTCTGAGTTTGAAGCGATCCATTTAAGTTATTAGTCTATTTACATCTGTTCAGCCTTCCAACTGGTTTTGTGCCACATCGCTCTTCATCCCTCATAACAAACACCAGGTTTCTCCCTCGTCACAGGGACGTCGTTTCGTCGACCATGGGCTGAGGATCAGCTTGATCCACCTGCGGAAGGCCATGGCCGACGCTGCCATGGATGAAGACCAACTCGAATTGGCCTGTTGCCCAGCGCTGCCTCGCACACTAGTCAATATAAGTCCTAGAGTCGTTTCTAGGCCCAAAGAAGCCTTTAGCCGTCAACCCAGAGACATACCTCTTGGATGTAACATCTCCTAGTTTGCACTAGAGTCATCTCTAAGATCCATTGCTTGCGACGACATTGCTTGCGACGACCCGTATTTGAAGCGTTTTCGGTCATCGACACTTGGGGCGATCAACTGTGTCATCGTCTGTTTGCTCATCGCTATTAGGAGCAAGGACGCTAGTAACAAAGGGCATCGCTACTAGTAACAAGTGCCTTACTAGTAGTAACAAGAAGCTACTAGGGGCTCCTGGCATCACTACTAGGAGCAAGGATGCTATTAGGTTGGAGGCCATTCCTATTAAATGACTCAATTCTCTGGTAGGTAAGCAACCCGGACCAACCCACGCAGCTCCTCACCTGGTTTTTTCAAAGCACGGCCCAAAATTCTGAATCCTGTGTGGCCTCCAACCTAAGTAGCAATGGCCTCCAACGTACCGCCAGAGTTGTTTATGAGTTCAGTGCCGCCTTCCCCAATACAGTGAACTGCCGTAGCTTCATGCTTTGTGGCATGTGAACTCACCCTCAACAAACCCAAGTTTTGTTTGGAGATGAGTGTTTACTTGCAATGGGTTGTTTGTAACAACAAAGTATTTTTTACTCCTTGCCCTGTTGAACATGGCCAGTTTTCACCAAGGCGATCATGAGCTTTGTGTTGGGGCGCCTAGAAAATTCACCAAGCGCGAAAGGCCGCCATTTGACACGGGCAGCCTAGTAGCGTCCTTGCTCCTAGTAGCGATGCCCTTTGCTACTAGTAGCTTCTTGCTCCAGTAGTAAGGTCAGGAGCTTCTAGTAGCAAAAAGGAAGGAATGCCTTTTCTCATCTCGTGCCATTTCTTGCTCCGTGCACTTTGGTAAATGCACGGCTCTCACGGTTTGGGGCAATTGGATCCGCAAAGAAAGCGTGTTTGTAGCGGTGCTATGAAGATCATGAAGTGGCATTTGCCACATTCTGAGTCTTCAATCAGAGGGCGGTTTCAAACCCTCTTTACGTTTTGCACTTGAGCCTGTCGCTAAGCCGGTCTCCTTCGCGGATCCTTTGACCGTGGAACTCCTTTGTTGTTTGCTGAGGAACTCCTCAAAGGTCGTCCGTCAGTCCTTCGCCGGCCGCGAACTGCTTGAGAAGGCCAAAGGCCTCCAGGAGAACAGCGGGAAAGCTGGCTGGCCTGGCTGGCACGCCGATGCCCACGCAGCTGGCGTGGAGTTGCAGACATCTTTCCGGGATTTCACGCCCCCCACTAATGTGGGCCCTTGGAACTGATCGAAGTAGGGGCGCTCCTGGCCTTACTAGGAGCAAGAAGCTACTAGTAGCAACGGGTACTAGGAGCAAGGACGCTACTAGGCACTCTTGCTCCTAGTAGTCAGGCCAGGAGCTACTAGTCGCGTCCGTGCTCCTAGTTGAAAAAGGTGGACCCTTGGAAGTGATCGAAAAGACACAGCACACACTTGACTTTGCTTTCACAATTGACAAATGTCACCTACATGCCCAAGGTTGCAACCCAGTGTTGAGATGTGACATGAGACTCTCACTTAGTGCTCGCTCGCCATGGCATGAAAGTCTTTTGGACATGAATGCACCATCACCATGCATTGCAACTTCATCAATCCAGCTTGATATGCCTTACTAGTAGTAACAAGAAGCTATTAGAAACAAGTGCCACGCTAGTAGTAACAAGTGCCTTACTAGTAGTAACAAGAAGCTAATAGTTAATTTAAGTTAATTTAAATTTTAATTCTAATTAAATTCTTATTGTTACTACTAGTAAGGCACCTGTTACTACTAGCGTGCCACCTGTTACTAGAAGCTATTAGAAACAACCTCTCCGTTGGAAGGTCTAAACTGGTGAACGGGCGCCAGGAGCTTTGGCGATGGTGGAGGGCCTCCGCAGACGCGCAGGATGAGCTCGGTGTGGTCCGGGTGCCCACCGGGTGCTGGGTACTCGCTCGCTTGCTTGTTGAGTTCGGAGATCAAGAAAGCTCTTGAGGGAAAACTCTTAAGTGGTTCTCTTTGGCATAAAACAACAGGATCATTACAGGACGCCAATCTGAGAAATGAACAGCCGAAGAGCTTGAGACCGAAGTTCAGGAGAGTGCTGAGCTTGACACCGAGGTTCTAGACTACATGCTGAAGAAGGAGGCAGTCGTCATTTTTTGATCGCAGATCGAAGCCAAACAAGTGAACTATGTGGTTTGTTTGCAAGGGCATGGTTTGCCCTTTTTTTGTCTCCTGCAAGATCCGAAAAGCCGCTTCCCCGATTCATGATCAGAATGGTCCTCGAGCCTTTCCTTGAAGTTCATGAAAGATTGACGATCGCGGGTCGCATTGGAGCAACGAATAAATGAAACTTTTTGGATGTGCAAAATTTTTGACCCAAATGTTCGACCTCCAAATGGGTGCCTTTTTGGCTACAGCGGTTACTACGGATATTGGCTGTGGGCTCCTTGAGGCAGATTATCAAGACGATGACGGAGAGTTCCATGACTTTGATATCCAGGACGGCTGCGCAGTGTGCATGAACATCTGCTACAATTAGACAGAGGCAGAACTCAAGAGGTGAACTCATAAGTGCTAAATTGGCTCAAACCATCGAACCTCTCCACTCTTCACACCCTCGGACTTTTAGGCTCAAACAAAGACTAAAGGACCTTAATCCCCAAAAGGAACACACGAAACAAAAAACACACATTTCTAAATGTCTAAAGGAAAATTGAAAGAGCACGAAGGACAACCAAGAGATAAAAGGAGTGAGGAAGGAAGGAGGGGAAAGGGAGTGATGATGTGATGATTAGGTTGGAGGCCATTGTGAGTGATTAGGTTGGATGAGTTCTTTGTTCGGCGGCCAGAAGACCGGCTGATGCGATCTTTGCCCAATTGTTCGGACCTCTTCTATTCTTACTTGAACTGCATTTATTTCAACGAATCTCAATGCCTGGTTTCCAAAGAGGTGTAGAATCCCCTTTTCAGCAATCCTCAGGTCCTTTAGGTGCTTTCTTCGGTGCCCTTCGCATCCTTTGAGGATCCGCCCTACGATTTGGGGCCTCTGAAGCTTCAGCTGGAGGTCTGCGAGGCTGGCAAGTCATTTCACCGGAGGCGGAGGTAACCTACATACAAGGATTACTTAAGCTGGCATCTTTGGGGGTCTGTGTGTCCTTACTAAAGGTATTCCGGTGGTTGTTGTGATCCTGCTCAACGAAACGCTTCAAGTCGGCTGTTGGAATCACACCAACTTGGTATGGCACTCAGTACCTTAAACATCATCGATCGTTGTTCGGAGAGCGTCCCATGGGTGAGAACCCAAGGGTTCTCCAACCGCTGTTCTCCTTTCGTTGAGGATCACTACAACTCAGACCATGAAGCTACTAGGAGCAAGGACGCTACTAGGGGCTCCTGTCGATAGTTCGACCCACGAAGTTCCGTTCTCAAGCTCAATGGAAGTGTCGCACGGCTGACTCAAGGGCCCTAGGAGTTGTCCAGCAAATTGCATGTTCTAATAGCTTCCTTGTTACTACTAGTAAGGCACTTGTTACTAGAAGCGATGCACTTGTTTCTAGTAGCTTCCTTGTTACTACTAGTAAGGCACCTGTTACTACTAGCGATGCACTTGTTACTAGTACATTCGCACTTTGACACATGTTCTATGTCCCATCCATTTGGTTGGGACTTGTTCACCCATGAAACCCAAGCCGCAACTTCCCCAAATCGCACGGCGGAAGTTCTGCTGGGTTTCCTCGGGCCGATGCATCGCAGAAATTCAAGACAGAGATGGGCACTCTGCTCCATGAGGGGCATGTGGCAGGGTGCCCCAGACATTCTTTCTCGAACGAATCATGCATTTCGTACAAAGAGACAGCAAGATCCAAGAGACTGAATCAGGAGCTTATATTGATATTATTGGAGTAGACATTTGCCCAGCCCAAGATATTGGCACTTTTTAGACCGTTGTGATGTTTCAAGGCTTGGCTCGAGAATTCTGACCAAGGGGGCAAGGTGCCGATCTCCAAAGATCGTGATCATCAAAACCAGGTTTTGGAAAGGGACTTCGGCATCTCTTTTGCTTGAGTCCTTTGCATGTGTGCTTTGAGCATGTAGGCCAGTTCAAGTCAAACCATCCTTACCACCCTCAAGGCTTCCGGCAGTGACGGAAGCCATACATGACTCTCCCATCAAGAACATGTATCGACTGAAACACAGGCGATGGAGGGTTGGAGGTGGGTGTAGGCAGATGAATCTCCAAAGATCCTCATGGCCATTGTTGGAGGTATCGGTTTCTCGTTTCAGAATGCTGGTTTCCCAAGCCGGCAATTCCCTTTTGTTGGTAGATATGGTGGAAGTCTGTGTCTTCTGTGTTTTCCGTGTCTAAGGACGCTACTAGGGGCTCTTGGCCTTACTACTAGGAGCAAGAAGCTACTAGGCTCCTGGCCATATTACTAGGAGCAATGTTCGCTACTAGGGGCTCCTATGCTCCTAGTAGCTTCTTGCTCCTAGTAGTAAGGCCAGGAGCCCCTAGTAGCGTCCGTGCTCCTAGTAGTGATGCCCTTTGATACTAGTAGCATCTTTTTATTTTTCAACTCAATTGAGGTCTGGGATCGACTCCGCCAGTCGAACCTCCGCTTCCGCGCCGAGAAGCGTCCGGGCCACCTGGGTGGGACCGGGGGATGGCGTTGGTCAGACGAGTCGTGAGCACTAGTAGCGAAGAGTAAGCGAACATTGCTCCAGCAGTAAGGCCAGGAGCCCCTAGTAGCCTCCTTACTGTATGATCATGTTTGAAGATTCCGTTTGAGCACTGTATGATCACGTGTTCCATTTGAGACCCTCAAGTGACCTTTTCTATTGACCGACTCGGTTGTCACCTTCCCAGTAGCTGTGTGAACATCCGCCGGAGTGCACACTCCAGACACTTTTCAACACTTGCAGGGTTTTTCAGCAAAGGTCCAACCTTGTTGCTTCCAACACAGCAAGCGTAATTATGCAATGCTTGGACTCAGCTTGCCCAGCCCGACATGACATGAATCATCTCTCTCATCTCCCAGACTCCTCATCACTTCATCATCTAAAGAAACAAAGAGAAAAACAAAGAAGTTACACCAACATCTAGGAACCAAATGAATAGTGCCAGGGCTTTCCTCCCAGTTACTAGTAGCTTCCTAGGTAAGACAAGAAAACTCTTCATCATCTCCTAAGAGCGATGGCCTCCACCCTACTTGCGATGGCTTCCAACCAAAGAGTGATGGCCTCCAACCCAATAGTGATGGCCTCCACCCTACTTGCGATGGCCTCCAACGTACTAGCGATGGCCTACAACCCAATAGCGATGGCATCCAACCTACTAGCGATGGCATCCAACCTACTAGCGATGGCCTGCAACCCAATAGCGATGGCCTCTATTCCACTAGCGATGGCCTCCAACCCAATATAGC